TGCTGAAGCTGGGGGAGGTGGTGGCAGGGGGCAACGATGAGAGAAAAAGAAACTTGTTTATGCTTCTTTTAATATCTCCCTTCTGTTTTACATTTACAGTCTTTTCAAAAGATACGGCACAGGCTTTGCCAAGATTCCTAAAGAGATATCCTGAGAAATGTAGACCGGTTTCCCAACCAAAATTCAAAGAAAACAAATGTCAGGCCAGCAATTGATATGAAATAGTTTAAAAATGAGAAAAAGCTGCCTCTGAGCTAGGTTTACATTAAACTACATTTCTGCAACAAGAGGGAGGGGAGACTCAAAAGAATTTCTCTCAGCCAGGGAAGAAAGAGAACCTGGGCAGGGTGGAAAAGGCTTATGTTACCTGCTGCCAGTGAGGTGTCCAAAAACTGCTTGGTGAGCGGGGTGCCGGGAGAGTAGAAGCCTTGTTACTTTCTGCTACAATAAACCTGGACATAACTGGAGGTGGGGAAGTGCTGAAAAGATAACCTTTTGAATCTGAGCCAGTCCCATACAGAAGTACGAAACTATTTACCAGCCCATAATAAATTTTAACAGCCTGCCTGCTTGCTTTTACTTGCTTGGCACAATGAAAAATATTACTGGGTAATAGCTGATCTGGAAATTTTCTGGAACTGGCTCCAATACATAAATGGCCAACAAGCAGGGGTGTCAACTTGAGTAAAATATTTGGGGAGGGGGAGGCAGGTAAGCCCTGCCCTACACGATCGATCACAAGATGTGGCACCCCCCCCATATGAATGGCAATGTCCATCAACTTTGGGTGCCCCCAGAGTTTTATGGGGGGGGTGGTGAAGGGACCTTAGCTGCTAGGAGTTGGCTCCTATGCCAACAAGCCAGTGAGGGCTGGGCGTAAGATAAGCCATAGGTGTGGAATCTGTGGCCCTACATAAAGTTGTTGAATTCCAATTCCCATCAGCCCCAGCAAGCATTCAGGAATGATGGGAGTTGTAGTTAGGTAACAGCTGGAAGGCCACAGGTTTCCCACCTTTTGATAAAGCACCTCACGGCAGAGAACAGACAGTGAAGCAAACTAATTCAGGAGAGTTCCTGAGGGTAGATGGTCAGTTTGGAGTTCACAAAGTTCTTATCAGTCAAAGGCGAGAAGCATGGATCCTCCAGGTGTTATGGAGCTCCTACTCCCATCTGTCCCAGCCAACATGGCCAATGGTCAGGGATGATGGGAGTTGCAGTCTAGCTTCAGGTTCCCATCCCTGGCTTACAGAGAAGATGTTCTGCAATATCAAGACTGTTGGTGCATAAAGTTCAGGTCTTTTTTTAAAAAAATAAATAAATTACTTTTGTCATCAACAACTTTAAAACCTCCATAAAGTATCTGCATGTTTAAGGAGGAAAATGAAAAGCTGGTAGATTGGATTTCAGACCAAGTAAGAAGGTCAACTGACAGAAGAAGTCTGCAGCAGAGCTTTAGTAGAAACCAGGACTGAGGAGGCCTTCAGAAAAAGTGTTGTCCAATGGATCCCAGGTGGCTGGTGGTTCCATCTTCATCTTCCCAAAATACAATGCCTCAGAATTTCCATTGTTTATATAGCAGCATTCCATATTTATATAGCAGCTGCCATTCTTTTTTTGGGGGGGGAAATCCCACACATCAGTGCTATGGAATGACAGGACCTTCATGGAATTGTTTCATATTTTGGGGGAACTAAGATGGTGGCTGAAGCTAGAGCCACTGGAACCCAGAAGGCATCCCTGTTGCAAGAGGTCAACAGCAACTGCCTTAGGATGCCAGATAGTGACAACTGGCCTGGATCAAACAACCTTTCAGCTTAACTAAACATGTTGGGGGATGCCTGGCTATCTCCAACCACTCCCCACTGCTAAAATTTAGTACAAGACACGTATAACAGGATGTCATTCTGCTCAGTGTTGCCCAGCTCCCTTGCAAATTAATTCAAGTGGTGTATGGAAAGGCTAAATGCATTGACATCATATTACATGTTTCTTGAACTAGGTATTACCAGGAGAGTTGCATACTGGTGGCACATTACCTGAGGGAGATGTGGTTGGAAGCTAACATCCACCATAATGCCTAGTTAGCCTCCCCTTTCTTTAGCGAATAGTACACACCACTTCCAGAGCCAGTTATATGGCTTATAAAGCATACGCCCGCCCCCACATCATCTCTTTAGGTGGGGGGGTCACATGCTTTATTACCTCCCTTCATCCCTCATTCATTAATCCTATTCCCTCTCTCCTCCGCCACCACCCCCCTGCTTCCATGGAGACATTTCAATGATCACACGTCCCTTAATCCCCATCACCGCACTGTAGACAGAAACCCTTTTATTTCCTACTGTATATGCCATGGGTCTTTTCCTTTCACAGATGTGGTGTGATAGATTTAAATATTCAAGGAGCTTATGAACCTCTAGTTTGTTCAGTAGGTGTGTTTCATCCTCACAGATCTCACGAGTCAGATATTAGCAGTCATGAACCAGTCAGGTCTCTTAGAGGCCACCTTTTGCTGTGTGCTCAGCACCAACACATTCCTGGAGCTGGTTTAGGCTCCCCCCCCCCTACTTTCATATACTGCTCCAGGATTTTCAGGCAGATATACAGTGGTACCTCGGGTTAAGTACTTAATTCGTTCTGGAGGTCCGTTCTTAACCTGAAACTGTTCTTAACCTGAAGCACCACTTTAGCTAATGGGGCCTCCCGCTGCTGCCGGAACACAATTTCTGTTCTCAACCTGAAGCAAAGTTCTTAACCCAAGGTACTATTTCTGGGTTAGCGGAGTCTGTAACCTGAAGTGTATGTACTGTAACCTGAAGCATATGTAACCTGAGGTACCACTGTACACTCATTTTAGGCACTTTTAGAGGACAAATCCTTAAAAAAAACTATTCTGGAATTATGTAATAAGGCAACTATTTGCAAAGTTAGATCATAATATTGAACAAACGCATTAGGAGAAATAGATTACTAGAAGAATGTACAACCAATTAGATTCTACTGCTGATATCACATGGTCCATCTAACTACTTAAACCATGATTAAGGAGTAGCTGCAGATCAGGATGTAAAACCATGACTTTGCAAACCATGGTCTGCACCTAGCAAACCCGTTTCCCCATCTCCCCAGTCTTTATGCTCACAGATTAGCAAACAGAACTTGCTAGAATTTTTGAAATATAAATAAATAAATAAATAAAAGTCCAGTAGCACCTTAGAGACGAACTAAGTTTGTTCTAAACTCCAGAGGCAGGTCTTAGCTTTCTTTTAATGTTCAGGATTGTAACCAGGGTTAGCACTAAACATGTTTAACCATGTCTGCACACCACTGGACCAGTATGGTCTGCACCTATTTTAAGGTATTACTGATGCCACAGGGAAAAAATATTAAGAAGTATGTAACTAATGAGGAAATGATAGTATTTGACCAAAACTGCTCCAACTACCAATATTTTTTAGCAGGGCTACAACCATTAGTTAGGCAGTAAGGGCAAATTTTATTTTGTGAGGCAATTAGTTACAGGCAATTAACATAGGACACTTAATTGTATTAAAATTCTCTAATTGTTTGGCAACTATAGTTTTGAGTCAGATCACACACAAAAGGAAAAGACCGCCTACCCCCAGCTGTATGTATTTTATTTACTATCCCATTAATGTAACTTCAGAACCGTGAGTTATATATAGTCAACTAACTTTTACTCAGAGTCAACCCATTGAAATGAATGGACCTAGGTTGGTCATGGTAATTAAATTTAATGGATCTACTCTGAATATAACCCAGCATATCTTTTTAGTAAACACTTCTCTATCAGTAGGGTAGTTAGATCTATTACTACAATGCTAGTCTAGTTTAATAACATCTTTCATCAACAAACTATAGTTTCTCAGACTGGAAATGCATTGTAAGCCTACATACTCCATGCTCCCCTTTGCACCTCTCCTTGTCTATTTTAATACATGATGTCCTGGTTTGTTAAAAGCACAGCTTGCTATTTTGTCCAAGCTGGGTAACTGGCTTGAGCACTTCTTACAAAAAGATTTCAGATCAGGATCAAATCACACAAGGGAAGAAGTCAAGAATGTATGCCTCTTAACAGTTGTTCACTTCTATGTGGAGCAGCTTTCCCCAGCCTGGTGCTGTCCAGACTACAACTCCAATAATCTCTGAACAATAGCCATGATGATTGGGGCTGATGGGAGTTGTAGTCCAAAACAACTGGAAAGCGCCAGGTTAGGGAAAGCTATTTTAGTTACCCTTAGCTCTAACCTACCATGTAGACAACAGCATCTTGATTTTATATACAGTGGTACCTCGGGTTAAGTACTTCGTTCTGGAGGTCCGTTCTTAACCTGAATCTGTTCTTAACCTGAAGTACCACTTTAGCTAATGGGGCCTCCTGCTGATGCCACGCCGCCGGAGCACGATTTCTGTTCTCATCCTGAAGCAAAGTTCTTAACCCGAGGTACTATTTCTGGGTTAGCAGAGTCCGTAACCTGAAGTGTATGTAACCCGAGATACCACTGTATCAGTCTGTACTGTGCCTTTCAGGTCATCTGCTTATCCACCAAGCTGGATAGGCCATTGCCTCAGGTTAACTAAAGGGATGTTCTGCTTCCTATTTCCACTGTAATTGTGTCTTAGCAACAAGAGCGCTGTCAAAAGAACTAAATCCACAAGACCTACTATGCATCACCAGACTCTCTCACACATTAGCTCTTTTCAAAGAGTATGCCAGAGAGATTGGGAGGCAGGATCCTGCAGCTTTTCATTTCTGCCTCAATGTTCTCTACAACCAACCAACAGCTGTGTTCACAATTCAATCAAAGATTGCCCAGGCTGATGCACTGCACTGCCAGTCTGTTGGGAGCCAGGGCTGCATGTATACTTCCCAAACAAGGGACAAGCTTCTTACTCTGTTCTGACTAGTTGCCACGAAATACTGATATGTTGCATTACCAGGGTCAGTGAAATAAAGCATGCAATTAGAAGACACAAACCTTCAAAGCAGCATAGCGGCCAACGACTGATGGTCTGTCTGTCAATCCAGATGATGAGCAGGGTCTGGAGAAGATGAATGGAGAACATGAACTGTCAATGCAAATGAACAGGAACCCAACTGAAGGGAGACCTTCCTGATCTGCTCCCCCTTGAACAAGCTGAGCCTCTCCCCTCTTCCTGCCCTTGCTTTGCCCTATAAGAATGACTGACAAGCCCAGCTTTAACTAAGGGATTTTGTGGGTTTAAAGCATGTGACCATTTTTCCTCCTGTTTTGTCCATTAACCCCTTTTCAAAAATATAAGTCAAGTTTTTCCTCTACACAGCGTTTTCTTCCCCTCCCTAGACTGCTCTCTTCCTTCCAAGAGGAATCCATACAAAAGCAGCAGCAACTAGCTGGGACTCTAGATACCATCTCTTCCCTGGCCACCGGGCATCAGCCCTACTACCACCACCACCTGAACTACAACACCCCCGCTTTAGAAAAGAAGTAGTTGCTGCAGATAAAATAAGGTTGCCTACAGGTGACTGGCGAAGGAAGCCAGACATGGGGGAGGGGGGAATTTGTGAATATCCTCATGGATTTTATTTATAATTGTTAATTCACTTCACTGTGGTGGGGATCAGCAGCTAGAGGCCCTCATATAGCGTGGATTCCTCTCTTTCATTGCCAACCCAGATATTTTCCTACCTGGGTTGGAATAGTAAGTGGTGCCCCCAACCCAATCATGATGCATAATAGCCATGACTAGTGATTCTATTTTGGCAACTGCAGCAAAAAATAAAAAAAGCCCACATGGGCCTCTCTCCAGGTATAAAAATTCAATAAGAATATATTAAATAACTGACAATTTGCTGCCCTTTCATGACACCCAAAATTGGCTTCCTCGGGCATTTGCTTCGCACTGCCTAATGTGAGGGCCTTCCAATAAATCTAATTGCTTTATAGGCACAGGGAGATTAGCAGAAATTAATAAAGTCATTTTTCATTAATATTCATCACTGTAGTTCATGAAGGCTTCAAACTTTGTGTACTCCTTGAATGAATCCTATGGGCTGAGTTTATTTTTCCAGCAGTACTAGTGGGCTTACCATATACACTAGTTCATGACTCACAGAACCCTAGAAAATCTTCCAAAATTGTTTAAAACCGAGATACTGGTGAGACATAAGCTGTACTTGTGTCGGAGCATTCACAAGGCCAGTGCCATCATGCCACACACTGAAAGCTACAGAAGGTGTCACCATGGGATGGATCACATGTTGTTTTTAACACAGTAAGTTACATCTGTACAGAATTCATTACCCCAAGTTTCCATTTCTCAGAAGGCCATGGGCTGTGTGGAAACCACCACCATATTCTGAACATAGCCCTAAGCAATTTTGGAAGCCCCACCATGAAACTATGTAGACTGCATAGGGTTTGCTGAGTGGCTTGATGCCACTTTAGCAAGCAAGCTAAATAATACGCAGCTTCTACAGTATGGTCTTTGGGAGCTTAGCCAGGCTAGGATGATTCACTGGAAACCGTAGAATCCACTTATTGGATGTAACACAGTGCTTGGAAAACTCCTGCTCTTACACAACTGCTCTCCAAAAACTACCCTCCAAACACAAGTTTGAATTTTAAAATGAGAAAAATTCAGAATGCCTCCTTCAGGGTACGGTCTCCTGAACTCACTATCTCTTTCCTCTCTCACTAACCCTTGCTTCATGGTGGATCTGAAGAATTTTAGCAGATATATATCTCCATACACCAAAAGTTTAGACACAATTTTCATATTTTAACATTTTATTAGCTTAGCTTAAAATCCTGAAAACATTGGATTTACAATGAAAACTTTGAGCTCCTTTAGCAGTTGTAAACTGCACACCAAGCTAACACACCCAGTGCAAGGTGTCATTTTTTCCATGAGCTTAGAACAGGTTCCAGACACATGTTTCATAAAGTTCAAAACTCCATTAGACATTTGATAGGGCAGAGAAGAGTCGGTGTAACGCTTCCAAAACTTTCTCGCTAAACAAAGGCAATGTCAAACTATACTTAATGGCAAACTAGGCTACCCTAAGCCCACGTGCTGACTTTCCCCGTAGACTATCCCTGATGCAACAAAAAGTCATGTGTCCTTTTCATGTCCATATTGGACTCTGCCAGCTACCATGCAAAGGCTTACAGGGGTGCTGGTGAAAGAGAGAACTTCATCCCACTAAGACAGACAGACTTTCTTTCAAATACAGTTTTTATCCAAGTTCTTTGAAGTCATCAAGGCTAATGCAACTCTGTGGGAAAACTGAGATATTTTCTGAATTATTGTTACAGTGCCGAGCATCTCACATGTGATTTTAATGAGATAATGCAAAACACTTTGAACATGATAAATAAAATACTATATAAAAGTTTACATTTTATCACTCTTGCACCAAAGGTTATTATGTTTGGCCATTAAGCAAAAGGTTGGTGGCTTGAGTCCACCCAGGGATTTGGTAGCCATCATCTTACTCACTTCCCTACCCTTCCAGTCAATGTAGGCCACTTGCCTTCAATTGGTCAAGACACACTAGTGGGTCAGGGCCTGATCCAAAGTGAGTTGCGACAACAGCACTAGCACCATGCAAATATACGGTAAAAGACTGAGAAATTGGGTCCCCAATTGCATGTTTGGGTTAGAAGTGGGTCCTGGGTCTGGAAAGGTTGAAGACTACTGATGCAGACAATTTTGGGTTAGGTGGACTAATGGCTTGACTCAGTGTAAGGCAGCTTTCTTTGTTTATTCTCTGATGACACACTAAAAAGCACATTTAAGTCTCTGGCACATTACTTACTCCATGTAAGGATGGATAAATCTGTCAATTTCAGTTTCTAATTTTTCTAATGTTAACTTCAGATCTCCACATTTCCACAGTGTGGGATATTTTGTAAAGACCTTATGATAATTGGTCAGCATTTGATTGAACTTTCCCCCCCCCCTTTGCCAGCAAAAAAATTCCATTCCCTCCTACCCTTCCAGAAGTAGCACTCATATGCCAGATGAGGAAGAGCATCAGCAGAAGTTGAGGGTATCAGTTGTATGTCCCGTGCATCTCATTCATGTCATCCTCTTCCTCCATGGAACCCAAAGAGTTCACACCTGCTTCAAGTCAGGAGTAGAACTGCATCTTGTGCTCTTGGACCTGCAGTTATTCATACTGTACTACACCCACACCCTTTTGTAGACTATAGTGACTGCTGCACTGCTCTGACAATCCATGGTGCAATGTCAAGACAAGGTTTTTTGAGCCACGCTGCAACCTTCCAACAGAGCCACTCCCGACATAAGGGGGGGGAGTTGTGGGCTCACGCCCCACCTACATCCTCGCGGGGCTGGCTGCAGCCCCGCGGGACTTGGGAATCCCAAGGTTCATTAATATTCATCATTCATCGCGCCAGCCAATCGGCTGGCAGCGGGGGCAGGCTTAGTTGGGTTCATTTAAGGTCGGGGCAGCCCGTGCTCGCCCCTTTCTTTCTTACAGCCAGCTGCGGTTTCCCACCCACCCACCCTCTAGGTTCTTATTTGGACTTTGCTATGGACTTCGGTTGGTCGCCGCAAGGGGCCTGGTAGGAGTTTTTCCACTTGGCTAATTGGCATTATTTTGGAAGCCATTTGGTTTTTTCGCCTACCTCGTAGCAAAATGTCACAACACCTTTGGTTTGGGCGGTTAGGCATTGGCAGGGGTATTATTATGCAAATGAGTTGGGGGGAGGAGCGCCATCACCTCCCCCAAAATGTTGAAGGGTAGTCCGATAAAGGGCTCCAGCGGGCGTCGCCTCGTCCGAAACCTATGGAGGCTAGGGCCTAAAGCGCGCTCCCGAGCGGTAACCCCTCGGGGAGCGCCTAGGAATGTGCATCTCAGGGGCTCCCCCTGTTGGTGCTTAACCCTTCCCGGTTCTATGCCGGTTAGTCTGATAGGGCCAATACCTAAAGCCAATACCGCTCTTACCTGTAATCAATAAAGTTGTGGCCATTTTTCGCCCATTAACCTAAATTCTGGTGTCCGGTATCTTTATTTATTCCATCTGTGGGAGGGGGCGGGAATCGCCACGCAATTTGACTTCACCCCCAAAGGCCCACTCCTCCTTTGTCTCCCAAGACAGACAAATGCCAACCAGGCAACTTCATTGTTGCAGGACTTTTCCCAGGCACCTGCATTGGTGCTACAGTGTTGAACTGGGAGATGCTCCCATACAAACATAACCCTCACCTATTGCCTCTGGTACGCTGAAAACCTTGCATGGATTAAGTGTGTCTGAGTCTAAACTGCGTTTCCTTGGCACAGTTCAGCTTACAGGTTTCCTGTGACCTGAGGTGCCTTGTGCAAAGCTAACCATACGTGCAAAGCAATATCTCCTCCCACACTTGACAAAAACATGCAGCTTGAAAAGTTCCAGCAACGCTAATCACCAGCTATTCAAAACTCAAAGCTGCAATATCTCATTACTGTGCTCCCAATTTGCTCTGCAATCAAACATCTAGGCTTAATCTCTCTTAAAGAGTTCCAGATTCCCAGAGGCTAGGTTTTTCTCATGGCTGTTGAGATCACAAGCTCTAAAACATTGAAACAAAAACTTATCTCCTCCCTTTTTATTCCCTTCCGCTGCTGAGATATTATCCGGCGGAGAAGGAAGAGAGAGGCGTGGATAGCTATAATTCTTTGCTGACAAGATCGTAACTTAAAAGCTCAAGAAACAGCACTATGTTCTTAGCTGCACGCTAAGAAGTTTGCCCAAGAACTCAAGGAGTGTGTGCGCTTTGATGCCCCTATCTGGGATAGAATCCACCCTTAGAATCTCCACAGAAATTAGTCCCCCATATTTCTGATATAGATCGTTCTACAGAATTTTGAGGGCTGGTCTCACCTACCAGGGCCCAGAGGACAAATGCTCAAACCTTGGAAGCTAGAAGTGGTAACAGTGGTATGAAAACAACAGAAATATTTGGTGGTGGGGTGGGTGGCTGTGCCCATGAAGACTTCTTCAGCAAAATCCACAGTCTTGTAGTACTGTAAAGACTAATTTATAAATGTTTGT